TCATCCCTTGTGCACAGAGCCCAGCTAGCTGAGCAAGATGCTCTGTAAGACAGGACTACTACCACAGGAGACAGGCACTCGCCTCAGTCCAGAGGGGTTATAGACTATGGGAAGTAACATCAGATCTCTGTATCTACACAAGCACTTGCATGGCCACAGAGGCAAACGGTGAAGCAGTTGAGTGTTGCAGACCAGCTCAGCAAGACCTGGGTGCTTGCTCTGCTTCTCTGCAGCAGAGGCGTGTGCCTGTGCACCTTTGGCAACCTCTCCCTGACACGGGTACGCAGGCAACACAACCGAGAGACCTGCTGCCTCTTGGCAGGTGGCTGGGGCAGAGCAGAGGGTAATGCCTGAGACGATCTGAGACGAGAAGGGCTTGGGAGATAAAAAGGCAGCTGCGAGTGGATGCTGTGAGGAGCGCCTGGGGTGGCAGAGGGTTTTGTTGAATGATTTATGCCCCAGCTGGTGAACGCTGTCATGCTGCAAACAAACATCTCGCAGGCGAGGACAAGCACCCTCCCCCCCAGCAGACAAGGGAGAGCGAGCCAGCTGCTCCTCGGCCAAAGGTCTCCCCTGTTGGCGTGGGTTACGGAAACGTTGTAACAATGTCACCCCAATATGAGTATGATCATTCACCTTTATTAGTCAGCAAAACAAGGTTTATATAGCAAAGCAATTACAGCATCTGATTGGTTAGACCCCCAATCCATTAATAGGCAAAACTACTGCAACTCGCTGTGACTGGTGCAGAGCTGCATCTCGATGTGAAAACAGTACTGTGGCAGGAAACGACAACGTGACGGTCCCCCTGCTCCAGTGTCCCGAGCTCGTCGCTCTACCTTCCCAGCAGGGTTCCGTGTCAGCCGCTCCCAAGGCTCACCTCCGGATCGGAACCTGGGATGCTCAATGGCACCAAGCTATGTCCCCTCTCATCTAGGCAGGACTCCACACTCCTCAGCACTGTTGCTTGTGCTCGTGTCATGAGCAAAGCGCGGTGGGACAAAACACCTTCGCCACCTCCGATGTCTTCACCTTGGTCATGCCTAAAGCAGAGGTGAAGCACGCAAAGAGGAAGACGTTAACAGGAGCCTTGGCAGGTCCATTGTAGCACTTCAAAAGCTGGTGGAAACTGCAAGGTCTTGATGCTTGGGGTCCTGCAGTTAAAACGGCCCACGTGATTCAGACATCAGTGCTCACTGAAAACCTTACTTATCTGGACAGCTGGTGGAGACTGGCTGTCAGGCTCCTGGTTCGTGTCTATGTTTCATTGTAAGTGATGAACCCGAGGCCATGTGGGCAGGCAGTAGCAGAGGAGGAGCACCCCAGAGCTGCGGATTGGGGCTCTCCCCGTGACCCCACGGCCTTCCTCTCCGCATCGGGTCAGAGCAGCTAGGGAGCTGACCAGCTTGCTGCTGATCTGAGCGGAAAGCCAGAGGACATTGCCAGGAGTAGCCCTGCAGCAACATTATTCACAGGCATTTTGTATCTGCTGAAATCCACCAACGTTTTTTCATCGCCTCTGCCAGCAGAGCAGTTGATTAGACAAGACCTGCTGGGGCGTCTCTCCACAGCTATCTGCAGGGTAATCTGTTACCTAATAGTTCTCCAGGGAGGTCCTCTTTATGGGCTTTTCTATTACTGTTTTGCTGATGATAATGTGATGCTCAACATGTTGTGAAAACAAATCTGATTTGTATGTCTCAGAAGCAAATAACTAGATGACTTTTTTCGACATAGGCATACATTTTAGGGCTGTACATTGCTTGGTTTATTTTATACGGCAGACATCAGTTGAGGTCTGCACTGCTTTATCACCTGCACACTTAATAGATGGAGGTGAGCTACTGGGTTTACATCAATTGAAAGTTTGCTCCTTTTCACAAACTGAGTTTTCTCTTTTTTTTCCCTTTTCACGGGCTGTGCACCACTGGGGCTAGCTCAGCCATGTGCTGGTCTCATCCTCCTCCTCTGTTAACAACCACATTGCTTGACAAAAAGCTGCAGACTCTGGAGATGACACCGTAGGTATCAGTGACATTTCACTAGAGATGGCATTGCTGAAAAGGCAATTGATTTAATGATTTTGTTACTAGAGTCGTGCTGCCACCACTTCCCCAGGATGCGACTTCATCACTCTCAAAGTGGGTGTGAAGACAGTCAACAACCTAAAAATACCAGGAGTTCAGGAATGACAGGAAGCCACAGCAGCAGGAGAACTAGCTGGGGGGATGCTGCAGGGACTTTCTCACTTTCTTTTTTTGAATGCGGCAGGATTGATGGCTGGGTGTGTGTGAGAGA